CCCCCCCCCCGCCCTCCCTACTGCCAACCAACTGACCGCTTTCCTCGAGAGTAGCCCGACTCTTTTTTTGCCCCGCAGGCTAATATACTGGCTGACCTTCGCCGTGGGCCGCTCCTTCCGAGGCTTCGGCTACGGCCTGACGTTCCTGCCGCTGCTGTCCATGCTGGTGTGGAACCTCTACTACATGTTCGTGGTGGAGCCCGAGCGCATGCTCACTGCCTCCGAGAGCCGCCTGGACTACCCGGACCACGCCCGCTCCGCCTCCGACTACAGGCCCCGCCCCTGGGGCTGAGCCGCTCCGCCCTCTTGCCCTCGGGCGAGCGGAGTGGGCTCAGGACTCGGTTCTGAGCCTGGTGTGGGCCCGGACTTCGCCCCCAGCCCTGCACCTTGGTGGGAGGAACCCTGCTGCCGCCCTATCCAACCGGAGAGCTCTCCTCTGGCCGGTGCCGCCCTTCACTTCCTGGGCCCAGGTCAGTTATAGGGGACGGACTTAGTTTACCTGCAGGGAAATAAGGGGGAGGGGCGTGTCCCTTAAGAACGCTGAAAGCATATGGCCAGAACCAGGGGAGAGGTATGGTTCCTTCTTGAGCAGACTCCTTGCATGGCCACCAGGGCTCACTCACGCTGGAGTCAGCCCCACTCCCCAGCTTCCAGTGAGGCAGGGCAGAGCCACAGCCAAAACCCTGACCAATCCCATGCTGGTTGTCTAAGCAGAGGGCCTCATGGAGACTGGAAATACCGAGCAGGCCTAAGACAGGCTAGGCAGCAGATCAAATAGGACTTTCGCGTTTGGCGAAAACCTTCCTGGGGGTCTGAGTTCAGGACCCTCTGTGGCTGGCTTTAGGGCCCTTTAGCCTCAGTCAAGACTATCACAGCTGCCCCAGTCTACAGAGGTTGCCTTCTCCCTTTCAACCTATTAGGCCTCTGTTACTTCCCTAAACTGCCCCCGAAGTCACTCCTCTCCCATAGGGAGGCGCAGGCAGGGAAATCTGCCTCCCAAGAAGGGGGTTGGGTTGGTTGTGTGTGTGTGTGTGTGTGTGTACGCCCACATATTTGGTGTCTGGTGAGTGGCTGGCAGGCAGTGCTGATGTTAACGCGGTGCGAGTGTGCGTCTAACAATAAATTACCACCACAGCCCTTGTGGGCTCTTTTCCTGTTTGTCTACCCAGTGTGTCTCTCCCGTTCGATTCAAACATGTACCAGCTCCACATGGGAGAGGGTGGCTGGCAGAGACCTTGGTTTCATGGAGGAAACGGAGCCTCAGACAGACACTTGCCTTCCAAGCCCATCTCTCAGCCCGTTGATTCTCTGGAACCAGACCCAGAACAGCCCAACAAGACTCACACATCAAGAGACTGAAGCCCTGTGAAAAAAATAAGTCTTATTTCTTACCCTCCAGGGCAGCCAGCCAGCCATTCAAAAGGACTCTCAGCTAGGTCTGTGCGTCCCATCCAAGGGAAGCAGAGAGAGATTCAGGAAGGCAAGACCACAGGGACCTTTCCTTTAGCAGGAGCCCTGGTCCTGGCCCCTCCCCAAGGGATGAAGGAAGCCCCACCTGAGGATCCCCAGGAAGTTGACACTGGTCTCTGAGGTTCCAAAGAAAAGTCAGATGGGAGAAGGGAGGGGCTGGCTGGAACAGTGACTCTCCCACCTCCAGAGGCTAGAAGTACATCAAGACAGGTTCAAGCTGGGTGTGGTGGACCACACCTGTAATCCCAGCACTTTGGGAGGCAGAGGCAAAAGGACTGCCTGAGCCCATGGGTTCAAGACCATCCTGGGCAACTTGGCGAGACCTCATCTCTACAATAAATCAAAAAATTAGCTGGCCGTGGTGGCGCATGCCTGTAGTTCCAGCTACTTGGAAGGCTGAGGTGACAGAGTAAGACTCTGACTAAAAAAAAACAACAACCCCCCCCCACAGGTCCAGTCAAGTCCTTCCCTCTCCACTCCCTCGAGAGTGGACCTCAATTTATGGACTGGTACTCTGAGTACTGCTTATGGCGCAGCAGCAGAACCAGGCCTCCACCCAGCAGCATGAGCCCTGGGGCCCCAAGGGCCACTGCCATGATGCCCAAGACTAACGGGGACAAGGCATCCACTGGAGGAGAGCCCACACCCAGAAGCATTGACCTAGAACAAACAGAGAGAGAGAGGTAAGCAGGCTTAAGAGGGAAGAGACCCAGGTTTCTCTACTTCAACCCTCCCATCCCCTGGCCTGGGCCCTGGCTCTCACCAGCTGAGGTAGTGTTGGTCCCAGTAGCCAGGGCCTGTGGAAGCTCCGAACGTCAGATTGAAGGCGCAGAAGTTCTGGGACCCAAAGAAGGCTCGGACAATGGGTGACTGCGGAAGAGGGTATTCCAAGGTGGGATGAAGAGGGGACGCATGGCAGGGCAGGGCAGATTCTCGGCCTCCTTGCTTCTGGGAGTAAGCCACTGGTCGCCACTGCACAAAGCCAGATGGGAGGGAGCCCCACAGCAGCTGGTCCAACTGGGGAGAAAACCAAACCCGGCAGGGTGAGAAGGACCAACTTCTATCCAACCTCTTCTTCCCCACCTCTTCCAGCTCCACCTGTCACTAGTAGTGACAGGCAGTGTATTGAGGGCAGCAGGAGCCCTGAGTTCAGACAGAGCCTCCATTTCTCCTCTGTAAAAAGGGGCAGTTGGACCGGATGAGCACTGAATTCTTTCCCAGCCCTGCAAGTCTGCACTGAGCTCCCTCCTCTGGCCCCAGGTCCTTGTAGATCCCCACCTGCCAGAGCATGAGTCACACCGCACTGCCTTCTGTCTGTCAAACACTGAGGGCAGAGGCTGGGTCAGGTTCATTAGCACAATGCCTAGCGCTTCAAGGAGCCAAAGAGTATTGCTAAATGGTACATGGTTGAATGATTCTCTGAGGTCCTAACAGGGTCCCACCTACATTCCCCACTCATCTGCCTCTCCACTGGAAGCCTGACCTGGAAGACGGCAGGTGCATATTCATCGTCGATGGAGTGCTGCTGCTGCATTGAAGGGCAGTCAGGGCCCTGGCCCAAGGTTGCCACCTCCAGCCCAAACAGGGAGCGGTTTCCTCGGGGCAAAACTCCAACCAGGACCACCTCTAGCTGGCAGGTGTCTGCAGTGTGCAAGAGGCGAGGGGGTTGGGCTGGTCGGCCAGATCTGGAAAAGGCCTGGACCTAGTTTGGAGGAAGCCCCGGAGGGGTGGGAAGCAGTCAGATGCTGGTGTTTGAGGGTCGCCTCCATCACCAACCCCCACCCTCAGAAGTCAGCTTTCTTGAGTTTCTTCTGATTCCCCAACCCTTACCCTGAAGCTCAGGCTGCCATTGGCAAAAGCCCTGGTAGGGTCATTCACCAGGTGGCCTTGAAATGTGGAACTCAGAGAGACAGGATCCAATGAGTTGGTGATGTTGTTCCAGGAGAAATCAGCCAAGGAGTATGGAGGATACGGTTTTCCTGGGGGGTCTGCTGCCGGATCAGACACGTTGGTGCTGTCAAACTCAAGCAGCTGGAAGGTGGGGGTGGGGTGGAACTAGGCTTGCTTCCTCCTGAGTCACCCCTCCCATTTGCCTCCCACCCCCAGGCTCTCATATCTAAGTCTACTCCACCCATTCCCAGTCTTCAGTTCTCCCTTTAATTGGGATGAACTCGCTCCTCTGGGCTCCTCTTGGTCCTCCCCCAGCCTCCTCACCCTGGTAAAGACAAGGGCGGAAGAAAACTGGACACTGTCCTCGGGAAGCACTGTCAGGCCCCCGTCAGGCTCAGGGGATAGCAGGCGGCTCCAGTTGACGCTCAGGGTGCTGTAGGGGCTGTTGGTGGCCACCAGCACCACTGCTGGAGGTCCCAGGCTGCTCCACACATAGTGCAGTGTGGAATTGGTGCCCACTGCCCGGATATGAAGCAGGTTCTGAGGGGGGCCCTCCCAGTCAGGAATGACTTCCAGAGACACCTGGAACACGAAGTAGCAGAGGGTGGAGGGGACAGGATCAGGGAGAGGCACAAGAAAGGTAGAAGCGGGAGGTTGCGGGGAGGGGGCTTAGGACAAGCCGGGGAAAGAACGGGACCCTGGGGTCTAACAAGAGGAATGTATGTGGGAGCTAAGAGGATCCTGCAGATGAAGAAGGGGGTAGGGGGAGAGCCAGGGCCGCACCACGTTGGTAAGGAGGAGGCCAGGGCACAGGGCCGGGAAGGAGGAAAAAAATCCAACACTTGTCTAGACCTGCATCATCCAGGGCAGAGTCTGGGTCCAGACTTCACACTTGTCCTACTACACAATCCGTCTCACCTGTGGCCGTGCCCCACGACCCCCGCTTCCCGCCAGACCGAAGAACCCGCCTCCTGGCAGCCACCCTCCACCACCATCCTTTGCAGTGTCCGACTCCAGCCACCTAGCAAGGCGAGCATTTGCTGAAACCTCTGCGGCTCCAGCCCCAGAGCCCTCACCTGGCGGGTTTCTTCTCCGTGCAGGCCAAATGGGGCGGCAGACAGAAGCAGACCCAAGAAGAGCGTGGGGCCGGGGGCCCATGGCCCCCAGCCCCAGCAGCGAAGCGCACAGCCGCACATGCGCTGCAACTTTGGCTCGCGGAAGAGGCGGCGGAGCGCCACGTGACTCCGACTCAGCTGATCTCGCTCAAGGGCGGGGCCCCTTAAAGAGATAGCCGCCCTTAACGCAGATTTCAGCATGAGTTAGAGAGAAGTCGGAATGGTTGGGAGTATATCATCCCCAACTGGGTTGGCAAGCAAGACATCCTAGCTCAGACGTAGCCATACTCTCAGGCGCTCCTCCCAGGCGGTCCCACTGCACAGTAATCTATTGTGGGTAAGATCCATACACAACACCAACAATGCAACTCTGTGGTAGGAAGGTCCAGAGGAATTTGAAAGAATTCCACGAGATAGTACTTTTTAGTCAATCTAATGTTTTTCGAACACCCAGTTTATTCAGGGTCTTGTCCTGGAAGAGTTCACAACTTTATTGTAAAAAAGATACTTCAGAAAACAGGAAGTGAGAGTAACGGAAATACCTGACAAAAGAGGGAAGTCACAGCTGGTTGAATGCATACTTTTTAGTTTTGCTCAATTTTAGATTTTGACTAATAAATGCGTATAGTACAAAATTCAAGGTACCAAAGAGTATCATCCCTATTCCCCAGCAATCTGACTCCTCCCCTGAGAAACCAGTTTATGTATCCTTTGTATATTCAAAAATGGAAATACAAATTAGTATACATCACAGTGACATCCAAGCATTGTTCTCCAGTTGGCTTTTTCACTCATATGTTGAGGACCACTTTGTATCAATGCCCTTGGAGCTGTCTTTCTCCATGCAGGGTAATATTCCATGGGCTTATTGATTGTATTTTTGCGTCTGGATCTCACTTTGTCACCTAGGCTACAGTGCAGTGGCATCACAGCTCACCACAGGCTCAAACTCCAGCCTCAACTTCCAGGGTAGCTGGGACTACAGGCATGCACTACCAAATACTAAAATATTTTGTACAGATGAGGTTTCACTGTGTTGCCCAGGCTAGTCTTGAACTCATGGGCTTAAGCAATCCTTCCATCTCGGCCTCCCATAGTGCTGGGATTACAACATGAACCACTGCGCCTGGTTCATGTGTCTGTCTAACCAGGATCTTGTTGATGTAGCTAACATTTCACTGTGGCAAACGAATGCTGGAATATCCTTGCCTCAACCATGGAGAAATGCTGAAATGCCAGCATTTCGTATATATTCATAACCAATTCCAAAGGTTAAACACCCAGGAATGGAATAGCCAGGTCAAACTGCCCTTTATGTGAGGTTTACCATTTGAAACTCAACCTCGTGCTTGAGGGTGCACTCATTTCAAGTGTTTACCAAGCTGTATGTTTATATTTCCCTATGAATAAATTTAGCATCTCATGTTTTACTCATTGATTTTTGCTTCACTCGAGCTTTTTATAACCTTTGCTTTTTTTGAGTCAGGGTTTCACTCTGTTGCCCATGTTGAAGTATAGTGATACCACCACGGCTCACTGTAGCCTCCAACTCCTGGGCTCAAGCGATCCCCCTGCATCAGCCTCCTGGGTAGCTGACGTCTCTCTATATTGCCCAAGCTGGTCTCCTGGGCTCAAGCCATCCTCCGGTCTCAGCCTCCCAAAGTACTGGGATTACACGTGTGAGCCACCATGCCCAGCCTCTTTGCCTGTTTTTCTACAGGCCTTTTCTTCCTAAGTGGCAAGTTCTAAAAGTTCTTTAAAGGAAATTAACTCCTGTATTGTTGCAAACATCCTCCCTCCTGTTTGTTTTTGCCATACAAATTTTGTATATAGTTCCCCCATCTCTGACATATTTTAGAACTCATATTTTCCTCTAGTATTCTTGCAATTATTTCCATCTTTCAGCTTCCTGGTATTAGCTTTGTTTAATAAAGTAGGGACTCAGCTGGGCTCGGTGGCTCAGCCTGTAATCCCGCGCCTTTGGGAGGCTGAGGTGAGTGGATTGCCTGAGCCCACGGGTTTGAGACCCGTCTGAGCGGCGAGACCTCATCTCTACAATAAATCAAAAAATCAGCCGGGCATGGTAGCGCATGCCTGTAATTCCAGCTACTCGGAAGGATCGCCAGAGCCCAGCAGGTTGAGGCTGTGGTGGCCGGGAGCGGCCACTGCACTCCAGTCTGGGCGACAGAGTGAGACTCCAACTCAAAAAATAAAATAAAATAAAGTAGGGACTCAATTTCTTTCTTCCAAATGGCTACTCTAGAAATGAACTGTTTCTTCAAAAACTTATTTTTCTTGAGGAAAAAAGTACAGTTGTGTCTCTGTATCTGCTGGTTCCTCATCCACAGATTTAACTAGGGCTTGAAAATATTCAAGGAAAACAACAAAAAAACAGTACAACTATTTACATAGTTTGAAGTTATATAAGTAACCTAGAGATGATTTTAAAGTAATGGAGGATGTGCATGACTTATATGCAGAAGTGGCATGGTAGCATTTAAACACTATGTTAAATTTTAGAGAACAAGTCAGGCGCAGTGGCTTACGCCTATAATCCCAGCACTTTGGGAAGCCAAGGTGAGAGGACTGCCTGAGCTCAGGGGTTCGAGACCAGCCTGAGCAACATGGTGAGAGTCTCTATAATAAATAAAAAAATTAGCCAGGTGTGGTGGTGCACGCCTGTATTTACAGCTCCTTGGAAGGCTGAGGCAGAAGGATAGCCTGAGCCTAGTAGGTCGAGGCTGCGGTGCCCATGAGTGCATGCCACTACACTCCAGTCTGGGCAACAGAGGGATACTTTGACTCAAAAAAAAAAAAGGAGAACAAATAGGGCTTTGAAACCTAAACTGAAGAGTCCAGATCGGTCTAACATGCCAAAAAGGTTCACGTAGGTTTAGAAATAGCAGATATTACAGGTACCAGTAATAGCAGGGAAGACTATAGCATCCAAGAACAGAAACCAAATAGGACCTAGAAAAGGGACAAGTGGGAGGAAGACCCCACAGATGACCAGCTTTTCTTAGGCCCTCCATAATTTCTCAGGTCTTATGGGCAATACTGAATGATCTGATTTGCTTCCTAATTTATTTTAAAAATAGCCCATTGTTTATCTCTGAAGAATTAAAGCCTCGAGGGAATTAACTCTATAAGTAAAGAGGCAGGCGTTTCAGCAAAAGGCAGGCAGGCCTATTTTCAAGCCCCTTGCAGACAAGTAAAAGCTGAGGGCTTTGGACTGAGCTAAGCAGGAAGCTAAAGCCTGGTATGGACAGAGCAGAAAGGGTCTCTAGAGACTCACAAGTCGTTTTCCACCCATACCTCAGTTCAGGAAAGCCAGCTGTAAAAGCATGCATTCTACAGCCAGACTGCCCACCTACGAATTCTAGGTCTGCCATTTACCAGCTCTGTGATCCTTGAATAAGTTACTTCATCTATGCATTAGATTTCCTCTCACAAAATGGGGAATAACATTACAGAGGGTCGTTGTGAGGATCAATCAATGAACACAAGCAAAATGACTGGAACACATCTGTTATACAGCACCTGTCATTCTAACAAGTATTCAACTTACTAAGTTGGGTTGTCAGGGAAGAAATGAACAAGGATGAACATATGACTCACAATGACAAAGGGAGGCTGGAAGGCCCAGAAGCCAAGAGGAAGGACACTGAAGAAATCAAAGGCTGGCTAAACCACCTCTAACATCTCAGGGCCACTACTCAGACTTATTCCCTCCTTGTTTAAAAATAAGGCAAAAATGAAAAAAAAAGTTGTTTTTTTTTTTTTAGTCACAGTGCACACTCCCAGCCACTGCAGCCTTGACCTGCTAGGCTCAGGCGATCTTTCTACCACAGCCTTCCAAGTGGCTGGAGCCATAAGCGTGCACCACCACACCAGGCTAAAAATATGAGATTTAAATATCTTGTTTCTGTTAGCAGGAAAGGCAGAGATCTGACTGTGACACAATACTGGCATGAGAACAAGCCAGAAAGCCAAAATATAGACTGTCAGAAATAACCTTGAGAGGGCAGAAAGCTCCAGGTAAGGTAGGGAGAATTCTGGAAAATTACACAAGAGATGTTATATGTCCTTTAGGACAAATGCCAGAGCCCTGGGATGGAGTGGGTGCTGCTCTACATATAACCGCAGGTGGGAAACACCCATGGTGTAGACAGGTTCCTCTTGTTCTTTGGGTGGTGAACGCAAAGTGATGCTTCATAAGCTTTACAGTATTATCCTCTGAATGCCAAAAGCATCTTACCAAGATCTATGGAGAAGTCTGGAAAACACCCTTTCAAGAAGACAAACAGACTGACCTCATTTCAGTCTCTTCCCTCCCCAGTAAAGTTTTCTGCCTCTCTCTGCCAGGAAATAGAGATATGACCCACGGTTGAAAAACACATAACAACTCTCTCAAATGACTTAGATTTAATCATCGGAAGCAAACTAAATGGAAACCTTACAATAGAGAAGAATTACATGTCAGTGCCTTTTGGAAAACTCAGCTGGGACAGAAAAGGATTGGGGGCTGCCCCTCAACCCGATCCCTTCCAAACAAAGACGTCCACAGTGTCCCTGGCACTCTGGCTCAGGAAAGGGGGAGACTCTTGCTGGTTCTGTGTGTTGAAGTCACCTTGCCCAGCACTCACTCCTGGCCAGCATCAGGAGCCCCACCTTGCCGGTTTTGGTCATCGCCCTTCTTTTTGTGGCCTGAGACAATGTCATCAATCCGTAGCAGCAGAACAGCCGTCTAGGAGAAAAACCACAGAACTCAAAGAGGTCAGCAGAGAAGGAAAGGACACTGTTTTCTTTTAGACCTATCACCTAGCTCCTCCCACAGAATTACCATTTTATCTAAAATCTGCCTTTTCAGAGTCTTGAATGTAAAATGCCTCAGTTTGGGGATGGAATTCCTTGGAGACCTTAGAGGAATACTCTGCCTTTTACTTGTTTATTTTCTCCCTTTAAGACTAAATCAAACACAGTGGTTTCTGGTTATCTGAAAATAAACAGCAAGCAGTGTCTCAGGATATCTCACCTCCACTGCTGTCTTATACGTCTGCAGCTTCACAGCCAATGGCTCCCATATGCCCAGTTCCTTCATGTCCACTAAAGTACCCGTCTCACCATTTACGCCCCAGGTCTCACAGTTCTCCTGGGTGTGCTTGGCCTGCAGTTAAAGCAAGCAGAAATAGTTAAAGGGGGAAAATACTGAGAACAAGTATGTTAATAGGGAGCATCAGATAAAAAAAGTAAACCCAAAATACTGGACCAGTACAGAAGGAACAGGGGAAATGGCAATGACAGCAGACAAGTAAAAGATTAAAAGAGAATGATTTTAAGGGAACAAACTATAAGGAAACCTTGAACAGACAGATATGAGCCATCCCCTTAATCCCAACACAGCTTTCCCTGCCCCATCAAGACAGCAGCATAGAAAGAAACTTACCCGAAGGGAGGTAAGTAGACGGATGGTGCTGGCCCCACAGTTCTGGATCAAGGTTCGAGGGATGACCTCTAGGGCCTGCGCGACAGCTCTGTATGGCCACTGTTCCACACCAGTCATGGCCTTGGATTTTTCTGTCAAGGCGTGAGCCACAGCCATCTCAGAGGCACCACCACCTGGCACAAGCTGAGGGTCCAGGAGAACATTACGACACACTTGCATGGCATCCTGGAGGTTGCGTTCCACTTCCTTGGAGAAGCAAACAGACAGTATGAAGCCAAGGTTCAACAACTCACGGGGAAATCAAAGGCACCAAAAGGACATGCTATCAAGGTTGGGAGACCAAGAAGGGCAACGGGGAAAGGTCCTTGGAGCCCCTGTTGGGCAGGGAAGAACTCATAACTGCAAGAGGGCAGGCAGCATCACCCCAACCATGAAGTTCGATCTTTGTCCATTACACTAGGTAGAGCTATACCCTATTTCACCCCTTCCTAGTTGTGTCCTTTAGTAGGCTGGATGATGTCATGGAAACTCTCCCATTTACTAGCTCTGTGCCTTTGGGAAAGTTACTTGCCTCAATGAGAAAAAAAAAAGTAACAGTCATATAATTTCAAGTTAAAAAGTAAGGAAGCAGTGGTTGCCAAAGAGGAGGAAACAAGCGTCTTGTTCAATTGGTACAGTCTCAGTTTTGTTTTCTTTTCGAGTTGGAGTCTCGCTCTGTCACCCAGGCTGGAGTGCAGTGGTATGCTCATGGCCACTGAAGCCTCAACCTGCTGGCTCAGGCAATCCTTCCACCTCAGTCTTCCAAGCAGCTGGAACTGCAGACGAGCGCCACCACATCCAACTAGTTTTTTTAATTTACTGTAGAGACAAGGTCTTGCCAAGTTGCCCAGACTGGTCTTCAACCCCTGGCTCAGGTAATCCTCTCATCTCCACCCCCCAAAGTGCTAGGATTACAGGCATAAGCCACCATACCTGGTGAGTCTCAGTTTTATACAACAAAAAGTTCTGTAGATTTTTGCACAAGATTGTGAATATAGCCAGCGTTACTAAAGTGTTTGCTTAAAAATGACTAAGACAGCCAGGCTTGGTGGCCCAGCCTGTAATTCCACGCCTTTGGGAGGCCGAGGTGAATGGATTGCCTGAGCCCGCGGGTTCAAGACCCACCTGGGCAACTTGGCGAGACCTCATCTCTACAATAAATCAAAAT